TTCCAAACCAGGTTCTGCCAGGCTAGCCTTTGTTTGTTTCCTTTGTTTCCTTAAGGAGGGCTAGCCTTTGTTTGGTTCCTTTGTTGCCTTAAGGAGGGCTAGCCTTTGCTCCTTTCCTTTGTTGCCTTCAGGAAGAATTAGCTCCCTGTTTAGTTCCTTCCAAGCCACGCTCTGCCAGGCTAGCCAGGAAAGAGTTAAGCCAGCAGTTTTGACACAGACAAATACCTGTGGAAGACCTAATACCTAAAGTTTTAAGCCCGGAGGAGTTATTTTCAAACTCCGCTTCCCACGCCTTTTTTCCTACATGCGGCTACGGTCTGCTCTGTACGTGGGTCTCTGTCTCCACTTGATTGCTCAAGGCCCATTGTCCAAATAGCCTCCAAAGCCCTTCATGATGCTAATGATGCACCACTCGGCGTCCATTACATCACTCGCATCACCACCAGACCACATTTTCACTGCTTTTCTGATCCTCGCTTTGGAGCGCTCTCCCCCACCAAGCTCTGGGTTCACCCTATCGTTCGCCCTAAAAGCTCAAGCCTAGCCTATCGGCTGGCTTTCGTAATATATATATATATAACACGTCACATACATAAAGCTATATCCATAGGCTATAGTCTGAGTGAGTCTATGGCTATCTATAACATGTGGTCATAACGTCATGTAGATACACTAGTTCAACACTAACGTTGCATGGTGAGCCCACAAAAGTCACCAAAGAAGACCTCCTGGGATGGTAATACGGGGTACCAAGATCTTGAATAATAACCAGAATATGTCATCATATATCCAACTGTTCAAATCGCTGTCAGCCACTCTTGTCCAAGCCTACCTACCAAAGTGCATCAACACGAGGAATTATCAAGTCGACAAACAACGAAGCAAGGTGTTTCGAAGTACTGTAGCACAAATGCCACAAGTAGAAAGGAGGGTGTGCTTTTACTCTTTTCCCGTCCATTTTCAAAACAGAGGGGTTCGAGCCTTCTGACCAAGGCTGGTGCGGCCGAGCACCGGAGGACGAGGACACGGCCGATCTTTGGTGGCTTCCTGCGAGCCCAAATGTGGACATCTGTGGACAGTCTTTCCAAGTCAAAAGGACACATGACCAATCCGAATGCTCCTCGAGCTCTTGCACCCTGGTCTTGACGTCGACAGATTTCCTTACGGCTCCGCACGAATCACGACACATCCAACAACAAACCATTGCTATACACCAACAAATCTTAGGGTTCTTTCATTTGAAGATGTTTGAACTATCCCGGTCCTTGATGAGCACAGGATCTGGGCATTGGATCGATCAATTTGGCAGGAACAGTTTGAGAGTTTTTAGACTCGAGCAATGGCCATGCCACGAAATCCTTGCTTGATTCATAAATCCGGTGTTCCAATTTCATGATCCGGATTCCCGGATGATTCCCAAACAGAACCGAGTTGGATACAATCCGAACCAACTTACTAAGTGGGCTACCATTGAACACCAATTGAACCTAAGAATCTTTCCTCTCATTGGGGTCGGATATAGAATCTCAGCTCCTAACCACCTAACCAAACACAGTTTAACAAAACAATGGAATCAATATCCCAGCATTTGACATGAAGTTCAAAAGACCTTGTCACCCGTTCGCCTCTGGTGTGCTTGCAAGCCGCTCCTGCTCAGATCTGAAACTGGGAAGTGCGTTTAGGAAACCCTATTCACCCGGGAGCCGTCCAATGGTGCGTGCTTCAGCCATCCAGCAATCCGAAAGACAAACACGGAGCATTGAAGCAAAAGTTCTACCAAGCCTTTTGGGTCAATACATCGACAAACACCAACAAGCCGTCCTTGATTGGCAGTCGCGGCGGTGTTTGTGCAGCATTTCCTTCTGCAGCCGGGTTTGCTCTTAGCTGTCACATAGTTGCACAATCTTTGCGTTGGTTTAGCTTTGTCTCAAAGGAGTGGATTTGGGGATCCCCAATCCAAACCGATTGGCCTTCATTTATGTCTATAGGAAACCAGTGTAATTTGTACATATATATACATATATACACAGGTTTGATCATTTTTGTACTTGTGCTAGCCCCCAAAGTCTACCTTTTGAGGCTTTTGAAGCATTCCAGCTGTTGTAGGCCTGGCATGAGTGTAGATTCACTTCTACTCGGGATTTGTTTGATTTGCACATCTTTTGCTCACTCTTCTATGTCGATATCTGCTGGGGGGCAGTCAATTCTCTTGCATTTCTTGAAACTCCTCTTGTTATGATTTGGTCCTTCGAGTATTTTTTGCTTCTACATGATCTTCAAGAACATACTGTAAATAGAACAAGTTGAACACGAATCAACAAGGACTATTTGAGCATGAGGCGAGCCTATTCAGACTAGGAAACAACTTGAATTTGTAGTGCAAACCAGTAAGCTATTTGCTTGCTACCCACATACTTGTCAATAAACTCAATATCAAATTGTCTCTATGCAAACTTGCTACATGCCCAAAATCTATTACGCACAATCAAATCCCATGGACAGGGACACGTCTCTAAGACCCAACTTGAATAATACTCCAAGGGCTTCTGACAGTTGTGGAGGTGTTTCCCTCAAGGATGACTTGAATTTTGCGTGAGCTGTTGGAAAGAAACATTGAATACAGGAGAATTGCAAGCACTCAAACATATAAAATAGAATATGATGCATTCATATACAGTGAAGCCCTCATATACAGGGAAAGGACAATCCACGAAGATTCGAGCATGTTGTGGAGCATACCAAGACTAAGGTGGATCAATGCTGCTCGAACATACCATTTTCTTTAGAGCCGATGATCCAACATCTAGCAACCGAGAGGGCTGCAAGCAATTAGCAAGGTGTTCAACCTCGTACTTTCAAGTTTTGAACCTATAAAAACATTATTTGTTTTTCAATTCAAGACTTGAGCTTCCCCAGAAAAGTTCCTCCGCTAGATCTTGAATGCTGTACTTGAAGAATTCTGCTCCCTGACACATAAAAATATTTTAAAAGTATATTCTTTTTTGATGGGCCCTCCCTTAGCAGGTTTGGGGTAGGGCCGGGTAGGGGTCTCCCTCAGAATTAAGTCGTTATTCCGGGGAGTTACAATAGATTTGCAAAGTTATTCCCGAGGTGGTTGACATCCTGGAATAGTTTTGTCGGTTTGGTGTGTGAACACATATTCCAAATTGATGACAACGAGCAGGCGCTTCAAAAATGGCACATGTCCTTCAATGTGTTTTTTTGCTTTTTAATTGCAAGGTTACCTGAGGGTTGAGAACCATCACATATAACAATATATTCTGCAGGGCCCTGCACCCTCAGTGTCCTTGAAAAACAACAATCAAGAACTGGTTTAACAGTATTCCAAGGATGTGCGGGGTGGTTCAGGACTTTGCAGACTAATTTTGAAGGCATCATATACCTTAACATATTCAGCAGGGCACTGAAGTCCCAAGTAACTCTGTAATAATACATGAATCACTATATGTGTTGTGTTGTTCTCTTTATTAACTGGTGTCAAATGTATTTGTTCATTCCTTGATATTTGTTGGTTATTCTTGTTCATATCGCCCTTTGTGTTTCTCGAGCCAAACATAAGTTACTAAGTATAAAAAAAGGCACCGACAAAATTTGTCTGAGCCCCCGGTTCAGTTCCAAGCAAAATTACCCCTAAGGGACCGTCACCCTGCTTCTATGGGGCCAAGAAAGTCTTCTGGGAAGGGTCACCCCCTCGGAATATTGTTAAAAAACAGTGCATTTTTGTTAAAATCAATAATTCAACCTTCAGCAGATGTTGTTTCCGCAAATCTTGAATCCTGTACTCAGACTTAGAGAACTTTTAAGCACCAATAAAACACTTTTTGAAGTATTCTTTGGATTCAAGGTTCAAGATTTGTGGACGCGCTTTCTAGGGAATCTGGAACTCAAACAAATATTGTAAACAACATTTTGGGCAAGATTAAGTACAGGACTCAAGATGTGCGAGAACACTTCTCTGAGGAACCATGAATCTTGAATGCACACACACACACTTTAAACTTTAGTCTGTAACAATTCCAAGGACAAATGAGCAAATCCAGAACACGTCACTATGCCAAGCGCTACAATATCATCTATCTATCTATCTATCTGTTTGTCTGTCAGTCTATCTATCTGCCTACCTGGATACCTGTCTACCTATCTACCTATATACCTGCCTACCTACCTATCTAGCTATCTATCTATTGTACCTGGCTACATATAATCACACCCAAAACATAACTGACAAAACAATAAACATATGAGCTAAACATGCAGTAGATACCAATGAATCCTTTAAACAGGCCGACATTTTTGGGGAGTGTACTATACCAGATTTATGTATATATACAAATAATATAGAATTTGCGACTCTCCGGCATGCATCATTCTAGGCAAATGTGAAAATCTCCGACCAAACGATAAGACTGATTCGACAGAAAAACTTTCTGTGGCGATCTGTCCGTCATGTGGCAACTGATGGTAACTGCCTCACTGTCTTTTTGCCCTGCTATTCAGCCTGCCGTTGTTCGGCTGACCAAACTGAGTGATCGCTTCGTCAACTTCCTGTTCCTTTTTGAAGGCTGTGGATCAGGGGGTGATGCCCATCAAAAGGATATTGGAGGCCATTAAGTACTTAACACAACCATATAATATCTGCTTGACTTACCTGCTTTTCTATGTAGCTACAACTCCACCGGGTAGCAGCTAGCATGATGGAAACAACATTTTTAACTGAATCTGCTTAGGAGACGTGCAGACTTGCCAGTTTCGCAGGAACTTGAAGTTTCCGTGACACACCACATGTTCTATGTGCATCTTGCCTGTGTTACACTTCAGTTCCTCCGATTCCTATCATGCTTGATTGATTGGATGCTCAGCAATCTCAGACTGTGGGGAGGAGCAGTTCCAGGCTAACCAGTTTGGTCTCAATATAAGGGTATTCCCACACCTCCAGCTTAGTATGGACAGGTGCATACAGTTTCGTTATCAATGTGTCAATGAGTTGGGTGGTGGAATCCTAATAAAAAATCCTATAAAGACTAAAAACGTTGAAACCAAACCGTCGCCTAAAGTTCCGGTCTTCGGAAACTCACAGGAGCAGGCTTGCAAGATGCTGCCAAAGGTTGTCCGACAAAGGTGGTTGCAAGAAGGCCGAATCACAAAAGGCCTTGGACCGACGGTGAGTCACCAGCACTGAATCGACAACTTGGAAGCGCGAATCTGTGAAATTTTTGAGTCTTGAAACATGCAAAAAAATCTCGGGTGACCCCACAAGCGCTTTCCAAGCAACCGAATAAATGTGGCCAGCAAGGACCTCCGCGTCAAGCTCGCCTGGGAGGGTTGCAAAGCAAGACTCATGGTGCACAGTTCCATTGCTTCATTTCACCACGGCGGTCAAGCATGCTACTCATCCAAATTGATCCAATCACTGTGCATGATTTCAACTGGGCGTTTCACCGCTGGGTGTCGGTTCCTTTCTTTATTTAGTCCAGTACTAAGCCGTGTTTCTTTTCTCGAATGCGTAGCGAAGGGTTCTCGTTTAACTCTAACGGTCTGGGGGTAAAGCCTTGTTCGCGACCCGTTGTCTGAGCGTTCGCAGCCGTCCTCAACCGTTTGCAGCCGACCGCGCCTTTCGCATGAGGACGCTAAGGCCGCTGCCATTGGGGGAAGGTTTTGGAGTCAGTTTGGCATGGAAGCATGATGAGTCAGATTCGTGTGAAATAGCGAGGAAACGTGTGGAAACGTGAGATGTTGAAGTGAAGTGTGGAGGATGATTTCACTGCGCAGGCGCAGCGTTTTGTGAGATCGGCAGGTTTCTGTGCAGTTACATTGGGATTAGCGTCTGGAGAGTGGTGTTTTTGGGGTGTTGGAAGTGGCTGTGCCATTGGGATTTGCGTTTCAGGGTGTTGCATCGAAGCGCTGTGTTCGTGACAAGTCTCAGCTGAAATGGCAATTTTGGTGGATTGGCAGCTCCGGGGATCGTGTGAGGTCGCGAGGTGTGATGGAGGTGACATTTAGTGTAGGCGCAGTACTTTGTGCGCGTGAGATGTGTGGACGCGGAAACTTTCGTGGCAGGCGCAGGGAATCGTGAGGTTGTGAGTTGTGGTGGAGGTGAATGTCGCTGTGACATTGCGGGCGTTGTTTGGAGCGGCTGGAATCGCGAAACTGCTTGGCAGGGCTGCTTGATGTGTGTGCTCCGATGGAGCTTCCCACTTGACCTTTGGAGGAAGCCTCGTGCGAAACGCTCGTTTTGCAGACTTTGACATGTGAGTTTTTGAGGAAGTCTCGTGCGAAACGCCCGGCTTGGAGACTTGACGTGTGAGTTTTGGAGGAAGTCTCAAACGAAACGCTCGTCTTGCAGACTCGAAGCGTGACTCTTGGAGGAAGTCTCGTGCGAAACGCTCGTTTGGAGACTGTACGCGCGACTTTCGTGCGAAACGCTCGTTTTGCAGACTCGAAGCGTGACTCGAAGCCTCAGCTGTGCCCTGCGGATTTGCGCGGCCTTGGTGGAAAGTGCGTTTGCGTGGCACCGTGCAACTGGAGGGCGAAACATGCTGGCGTAAACGCGGCGTGTCGCTGGCGAGGGGGATGATTGGCGGTATTGTGTGATGTGTTTGCTTCTAGTATGTGGCGGACCGTGTGGCGCAGTTGCCATGTGGATTTGCGCGGCCTTGGTGGAAAGTGCATTTGCGATGCGCCACTGGCGCGAAACATGCTGGTGTAAACGCGGCGTGTCGCTGGTGAGCGACAAGAGTGTCCCACGAGAGTTTCCTACAAGAGTGTCCCGTAATTAGGAGTGACCCACAAGAGTGTCCCACAAGACTGTCCCAGAACAGTGTCCCACAAGAGAGTGACCCGCAAGAGTGCCCGTGTCCCACAAGAGTGTCCCAGAAGAGTGTCCGACAAGAGTGTCCCACAAGAGTGCCCTACACGAGTGTCCCACAAGAGTGCCCTACAAGAGTGTCCCCACAAGAGCGTCCCACAAGAGGGTCCCACAAGAGTGTCCCAGAAGAGCATCCCAAACGAGTGCGCAGCAAGAGTTTCCCACAAGAGCGTCCTGCCTACACAAGTGACTGACAAGAGTGTCCCAAAAGAGAGTCTGAGAGTTTCCTACAAGAGTGTGCCAGAAGAGTGTCCTACAAGAGTGTCCCACAAGAGTGTCTCACAAGAGTGTCCCATAAGAGTGTCCCACAAGAGTGTCCCACAAGAGTGTCCGACAAGTGTGTACCGTGTCCCACAAGGGTTTCCTACACGAGTGACCCACAAGAGTGTCCCACAAGAGTGTCCTACAAGGGCGTCATTTGGGCATATTTAGCTTTTCGAACGTGTTTGCATTCGGGTTCGTGGGCTCCATCTGGTGCTTTTTAAGCACAAATTGTGGAGACGAAGACCGGTCACAAGAACGTGCACCTTCATGCCATTGACAGTAACCGTAGATCCAGCAAAGCTCGTTAGCGCTCATCTGTTTCCACCTGATGGGAGCGAGCGGTCGATTATGGCCTACTCTTTGTTCGCCCCGAACAGAAACCCTCCAAATCCCACAGCGTGGAGGAAAGACTCCTGAACCTGAACCGAAGCTGTTCCTGGGATTCTGGATGGTTTCGGTGAGGTGGTCCAGAACCTGACGCGGCCCTATGGCTGTTGTTCTCCCTGCGTACGTTTGAGACCTTTAGGTAAACGTCATATTCTCTGTTGCGGTTGGATGTGGTATCATGACGTCACCATGTGGTATCCCACTGCAGCAAGCCACCTGACCAAATCCTTGGCACGTGCCATGATGTCCTCCTGATACGTCAGAAAAACACCTTCGGCCAGGTTTGCTTCCGATGCATCGCAGAGTTCATCTGACTGAAATGAACAGAGCCAACTGTCTGTTGTTGTTACTAAAGCAAGCGATGAATTCCTTACTGCAGCCTTTCGGGTGTCTCACGCAAACCTTAATCACCTGCATCAGCACATCAACGAATTGCCAATGAAACTCACCTTCTATTTCTTCTGTTGTTGGAACGCCCGCCTTTGGCAATCTCCTCTCCCTTCAGCTCTTCGGATGCATGCAACAGCGCAACGCGGTGTCCCATGGAACCTGGGCGCTATGAGATACGTTCGATTGATACTCCAAATCCTCATTGGTGCAGGAAACAATTCCAATCAACTATTTTTTTATAAAATTGCACTTTCTCAAAAGTTCTGGAATGGTTTGAGCGCCCCTGAACTTGTCATCAACTCATCCTGGATGGGAACGGCTGTGGATTGAGGCCTGATAAAAACTATGAGCCCTTTCCTGGATGGCAATATCGCGTGGTCTTCTCAAAGTGGCTTACATTTCCTGCAGCCTACCAGACTTTTAGCCCAGTGCCTCTTTTTTGATTCGGCCAGCCTCCAAAAAACACAGGAGCTGAAGTGTTGCGACCAAGGTCCTGTAATGGATCAAAGTCAACCTTCCACGGCAACTCCAAACTAGACTAGATTTTCCTAAATCATATGAACTTATATAATATACACATACATACATAAAATGCAAACATGCACATGTAAAGGGCAACCCTTTTTTTTTCCACCCCGCCCTTTTTTTCCACCCTCCACCTTTCTTTTTCACCCTCTGAACCTTTTTTTTCACCCTCGGACCTCCTTTTTTCACCCTCTACCCTTTCTTTTTTGACCCTCGACCCTTTCTTTTTCACCCTCTTTCCTTTGCTTGGTGTGTTGGTTGGTTGGCTAGCTTGTTGCAATGCGAAACAACCAAATATCGACAGCCTTTGAGGAAAACAGAGGGTTGTGTGGTTCTGATTGCTTGTTTGTTGGTTGCCCGGTGGGCTACCAATGCAAGGCAAATACCGACAGCATTTGGTGAAAACACTGTTTGGTTGCTACCCTTTCTTTTGTATCCCACTTCCTTTGGTTGGTGTGTCGGTTGGTTCAGCCTGCTTGGCTTGTTGGTTGCTTGGATTTGGTGAAAACACATACAGTGATGGATGGATCATGGACAGGACAAAAGTGTAACTCTTTGGCGCGTTGGTTGCTTGGTTTGCTTGCCGTGATCGCTTGCGTGATACAGTGCTTGATGGATATGCAATCTTTCTGTTTGTGTGCTTGGTTGATGGATGGATGGATGGATGGATCTGTGTAAATATAGGCGGGAGGGAGTGCGGAGGGAGGGCGCAGCTCCTTCCCCGCAATGCAAACCAAGTATCGACAGCACTTGGGGAAAACAGGGTTGCGTGGTTTGGGTTGCTTGGTTTGTTGGTTGCTTGCTTCTTTGATGGGTGGTCTGTAGATAATGGCGGGTGGGGATGGATGCGCAAATGGATGGAGTGTAAACAAAGGCGGGAGGGGGTGCGGGCGAGGGCGCAGCGCCTCCCCCACAATGCGAACCAAGTATCGACAGCGTTTGGGAAAACACAGGGTTGTGTGGTTTTGGTCGCAGGGTTTGTTGGTTGCTTGGTGGGCTACCAATGCAAAGCAAGTATCGACAGCATTTG